CTGCGGCCGTAGCGTGAACTAAGCCTTTGCTAGTGCAAACAGGGATATTCGTGTGTACCAGCAGCCCTCGTGCCAGGGAGACCTTGGCACCCCGGGACAGTGCTGCCCAAAACCCTGTGAGCCAGGGAGGAGCTGTGAGCCAGGCTGCTTCCCCAGGGAAGAGGATGCTCCAGGTGCCTAATTGCCACCTTCAGCTAAAGATCCAATTAATAAGAAAAAAAGATGGTCAGGCACTGGGAGGGGTGGCCCAGGGATGCGGCGGGATCTCTGTCCTCGGAGGAACTCAAACTGCGGCTGGAGAAGGCTCAGGGTGATGGGATCCAGCACGACCTGAGCCCTGCTGGGAGCAGGAGGCTGGACAAGTGCAGCAGGACAAGTGCAGCAGGACGTGCAGGACCGCCCCGTTCTCTGACCCTAAGGGCAGGAGGGAATGATTCGTACTGGAAACCCGGGCACAAACTCTCGGGGGCTGTGGGAGGGCTGGGGACGCGTGGGCGTCCGTGCACAGCCCTGCTAACCCGCCGCCGCTCTTCTCCAGGCCCTGCGCCATGGTGGTCCCCGATTTCGAACTGATCTGTGAAATCATGCTCGTTGCAGAAGGTTTTATCGACGCCAAGCTTCTGGCGAGGAAGTTCATTACTTTGTACACACTCTGCAAGGAGCTACTGTCTAAACAGGTAACTCAGTGATGACGCAGGGCTCTTGGAGATGGGGGAGTCCATCTGAATCTCGACCCTGACGGACTGCAGCAGGGGTGCTGGCAGTAACGTGCTGGCTGACGTGCTGCGCAGTTCAGGTCTGTGGCTGGACAAATTCCACTTCCACGCTGGTGCATCATATGGCATATTTCTGCCTTCTGGAGGAAATCAAGAAGTCCAAAAATAGAACAGAATAGAGCCAGTTAAATGAGAGCATCCAGATATTATTCATTTCAGGAGCAGGGATTTACGGGGAAGCCCTGCGGCTGACGGCGGCTCATCGTGTAACTAAGCCCAGTTCAAGCCCCGTCTGCTGGACCCTGCGTGGCCAGCCTGGGTGGGGGCAATGGACGGGGTGCTCCTCTGGGGTTTTGTTCAAAGCAGTTCTCCCTCACCAAAGCAGAACTGTAACACGTTGCTGCCTGTTGGCAGGACCACTACGACTGGGGTCTGCGGGCTATCAAGTCCGTGCTGGTGGTCGCGGGCTCCCTGAAGAGAGGGGACCCCGGCCGCGCTGAGGACCAAGTTCTGATGAGAGCTTTACGAGACTTCAACATCCCCAAGATCGTGACAGACGACTTGCCTGTCTTCATGGGGCTGATCGGAGACCTGTTCCCAGCCCTGGACGTCCCCAGGAAGAGGGACCTGAGCTTCGAGAAGGTGCAGTTCTCGGGGCTCTCTGGCACCAGCACCAGAGATGTCCCAGCCCCGGCAGCGGCCGGAGGCTGAAGGTCCATTCCGCACTTGAGGGCAGCCGGCTCAGCTCCGGGGTCTGGCCGAGGCCGTGACGGCTGCTCGTGGTCAGCACCCACTCTCCTCCCCAGGATTAGGCAGTCGGTGCTGGAGCTGCAGCTGCAGGCGGAGGAGAGCTTCGTGCTGAAGGTGGTGCAGCTGGAGGAGCTGTTACAAGTGAGACACTCCGTCTTTGTCATCGGCAACGCCGGCTGCGGCAAGTCCCAGGTACCGGCCAAACCGTCCCCGAGATAGCGGGTGATGTCCCGCCCCAGCCGAGCACATCCCAAAGCCTCCCTCGTCCGTGCAGACCCCCGGCTGCACCAGCAGCGTCTGAGTGGGGGATGGCACCCTGGGCCCCCCAGCACCACATGTGCCACGCTCAGCCCGTGGAGCTGAGCAGGTTCGGGATGGCATCACCAGGTGGCACGGCTCAGTGCTGCCCAGGACACCCCTGGGGAGAGTGGGAGCAGGCAGGGAGCTGGCAGCAGCACGCTCCTGTGACACCCTGCGTGCTGTGGCGCCAGCAGGACGGGCTGGTGGGCACTGGACTCCCACAACACCCCAGCTGGGAGCCGGCTCTGCAGCGGC